AGCACGTCCATATCACGAGATTTAAAAACCAGAAGTTTCGCTGCAGTACTTTCTAATTCAATGACGTGGGGACCCCCCACGAAGCCCATATCCGAACTTGACCTTGGTATTGTCAATGGTAACTTGCCAACTAAAAAACATGAACATCCATTTAAAGATTCTCGAGTTATCTTGATGACAAGAAAAAACACAAAAAACAAAGGTCAACTGCAGTGACATAGAAACCCCCACGGGGCCCATCTTTGAACTTGACCTCGGCATTTTCAACGGTAACTTGCCCACTAAAAATAATGAACATCCATTTAAGGATTCTCGAGATATCTTGATGACAAGGAAAAAACACCAAAAACCAAGGTCAACTACAGTGACTTAGGAACCCCCCACGAAGCCCATTTTTAGCCTTGACAATGGCCACCCCTAAATCAACCTGCCTGCCAAAAATCGTGAACCTCGGACCTTGCCTTCAAGAGTTATCGTGCCTAATCTGCCAAACAGTGCAAACCCGATTTCATAACCTTCTCCGAAGGCATAGCCTTCAGTCGAAGGCAATGATGCGAACACTCTCAGTCACTTGCTGTCACTTCCTTTATTTCTCATACAACAGTGTGTTAATGTCACAAGTTCAAAGAAGCCACGTGACAAGCCTGACTGGGTCAGTCTACTGAGGAAGACCAGAGTGACTGGTCGAAAGCCCTAGGTGAGAGAACTTCTTTGTGTTGGATCTCAAGTTTTAACTTTAGATATGTTATAAACCGTTTTCGGTGATTTTGCCACAAAGGGACACTACTTTTTATTAAGAAGCATCACTGAACATACGTCAGTGAAGGTAATAAGACATGCCAAAAAGCAACTGGACGTGATTTTGGAAACCTCAAGACGTTTCAGGTAGCGTCCACTTGCTTTCGTCAGTAATTTGCATCATCCTTTTTCATCCATGCTTTTCTCCTGTGTGGGTTTTCATATGTTTGGATAAGTTAGACTTGTAAGCTGTCCTGTATCCACACTCCTCACACATGTAGGGCTTTTCTCCTGTGTGGGTTTTCATATGTTTGGATAAGTCAGACTTGTAAGCTGTCCTGTACCCACACTCCTCACACATGTAGGGCTTTTCTCCTGTGTGGGTTTTCATATGTTTGGATAAGTCAGACCTGTAAGCTGTCCTGTACCCACACTCCCCACACATGTAGGGTTTCTCACCTGTATGGGTTGCTAGATGTTTGTCCAAATCAGATTTCCGTGCTGTAGAATAGTCACACTGGTCACATTTGTAGGGTTTTTCTCCTGTATGGGTTCTCATATGTTGGGTTAAGGTAGATTTCTCTGCTGCAGAATAGTCACACTGGCCACATTTGTAGGGTTTTTCTCCCGTATGGGTTCTCATATGTTGGGTTAGAGCAGACCTGTAAGCTGTCCTGTGTCCACACTCCTCACACATGTAGGGTTTTTCTCCAGTGTGTTTTGTGAGATGTTCGTCCAAGTAACCTTTCTGTGCTGCAGAAAAGTCACACTGGTCACATTTGTAGGGTTTTTCTCCTGTGTGGGTTCTCATATGTTTGGTTAAGGTAGATCTGTAACCAGTCCTATACCCACATTCCTCACACATGTAGGGTTTCTCACCAGTGTGTTTTGTGAGATGTTGGTCAAAACTGGACTTCTTTGCTGTAGAATAGTCACAGTGATCACACTTGTAGGGTTTTTCTATAGCATGGGTTTTCACATGTTGGGATAAGTTACATTTGTTAGCTGCCCTGTACCCACACTCCCCACACATGTAGGGTTTCTCACCGGTGTGGGTTGTTCGATGTCTTGCCAAATTGACTTTCTGTGCTGCAGAAAAGTCACACTGATCACACTTGTAGGGTTTTTCTCCTGTATGGGTTCTCATATGTTGGGGTAAGCCATACTTGTGAGCTGTCCTGTATCCACACTCCCCACACATGTAGGGTTTGTCTCCAGTGTGGTTTCTTATATGGTTTTTCAAGTACTTTTTCTCTGCTGCGGAATAGTCACACTGGTCACACTTGTAGGGTTTTTCTCCTGTATGGGTCCTCATATGTGAAGATAAAGTAGACTTTTTAACTGTCCTGTACCCACACTCCCCACACATGTAGGGTTTGTCTCCAGTGTGGCTTTTTAGATGGTTGTCCAAGTACTGTTTCCGTGCTGCAGAATAATCACACTGGTCACATTTGTAGGGTTTTTCTCCTTTGTGGGTTCGCATATGTTGGGATAAGATAGACTTAACAGCTGCCCTGTATCCACACTCCCCACACATGTAGGGTTTGTTCCCACTGTGCTTTGTTAGATGAATGTCCAGGTATTTTTGTATGCAGTAGAAAAGTCACACTGATCACACTTGTAGGGTTTTTCTCCTGTATGGGTTCTCATATGTTGGGTTAAGGTAGATCTGTAACTAGTCCTATACCCACACTCCCCCACACATGTAGGGTTTCTCACCAGTATGTGTTAATTTATGATCATCTAAGGTGGATTTCCGTGCTGCAGAATAGTCACACTGGT